GGATGCGGGGGAAAGAGGGGGGAGAGAAGCGGCCGGCGGGGAGCGGGACTGACCTGGGCACATGCAGATCTCAGGGCGCTGCCCATCCTGTGCACGGTCCCGGCGAAGCACAAGTGAGTCCGGCCCCGGGGATTCCATATTGCCCCGCCATACACTCGCCCCCTCGAGTACTTACGAACTGTCTGGCTTGTAGACACACTCACACAGCCTGAGCACATCTACCAGCCAGGCAGTTTGCAACTACAAACTGATACACCTAATAATAATAAAATGTACCTAATGAGAAAAAAACAGACATTTTATATGTCTGGTATTTTCTCAATTTGTTTCCCGGACAGAAGCCTCAAATACCAGACTGTCCGGTATAAAACCAGACACCTGGCAACAATTACCCCTCCTTGCACCCTCCCTCCTAGCCAGATACCTTACCCCCAGTCTGCTCCTGCTCCCGCCTCCTGGAGTGCCTGTGCAGCACCAGGTCCCCTAAGCTCTGGCCTGGACTGGGTGGAATGAGGTTTAACTTAATTCGAACTAAGGGGTTTATCTTGGAATGGCGCTTCCTGCCATGTGTAGACGCGGGCAATTATTCCGGGCTAGTCAGTTTCCAAAATGGCGACCGTCCAGGAACATGCTAATGAAGTGCGGGATATTTAAATCCCATGCTTCATTTGCAATTTCGGTTGCCCTCATTAGCCTCCGTAGTTCGAACTAGGGGGCTAGTGTAGACGTACCCTTACTCTTTAAAGACTCTATGCCTACCTCCTGCTGGAACTACATGTGATTCTCCTGACTGGAATACAAGTCTGCACTCACTCGAAGCAAGGACCGTTGCTTACCTATATCCCAATGGTTGTTATTCATGATGTGGGTGCAGATCAGTGTTCCCTCTACCATTTTCTGTCATGGGATGGGTTGAAATTTCTTATGTGCAACATCAGTATAGCGGTAGTATGTGGATGTGCACCACCAATACAAAAAAATGTATTTTAAATAGTCCATATGTGTGGAAGAAAATATATTAAAGCAAAAGATAGTTAACAAGGAGCAATGCATACGATATTTAATGTGAAACAAAAAAACAACATTAACGCTACCTTAGAGTACATGTATCATCGTCCTTTCTAACAATTCAAGCTAGTAAACACACCAAAATGCATATTATCTGCACATAGCTCAGCTTTAAGATGCTAAACTGATCTGAGTCCACTAGAAATAGTATGTGCAAGGAGAGCATGACTAATACAATATTTACTGACACTGGAAAGAAGAATAAAAGGCATTCATTAAGGCTTATACAGTTTCTCTGGGAAATGTTTAGGATCCATGCTATACAAGAACAAGTGAAAGAGACCTGTATAAACAGATAAAAGTTCTCCTGGTTTGAAACTTTCATCTTTTGTGTGTCACCAGCTCAAAGAGTACAAGCCTCAGAACAAATTAACACATGGCTTCAGGGTTTGTAGACAGATGAACGTTTTAAAGAGCTGTCAGATAAGCTTTCATCCTACAAAACAGCATCATACCTAATACTTGCTACTTCTGACTAGGGATGTGAAGGACTAATCGACTAGTCAACTATCTGATAAGCAAATGCTTATCAGATAGTCAACAGGCTAGTCGACTAGTCGCTTGCCCCCCCCCCCCCCCGCTGCTTCTATCAGAAAGAGGTGGCAAGGGGGAAGAGAAAGAGGTGGGGGTACTTCAAAGTGGCAGTGCCATGGGGAGCTTGGAGCCAGATCCCGGGCTCCACATGGCGCTGGAGCTTTGAAACACCACATGCAATCTGGGGCCAGCTGGGGTGTCCCCAGGCTTCACATGGTGTTTCAAAGCGGCAGCACTGCATGGAGCCCAGGATTGGCTGGGGATTCCCCCGCTGATCCCAGGCTCGACAGGGCACTGCCACTTTCTTGTGAGGAGCCTGATGCTGGGCTCACGGCAATGTTTCAGTGTGGCAGTGCCACATGGGTCTGGGGTCAGCGAGGGAGTTCCCAGCTGACCCTGGGCTCCACGCAGCACTTTCGTCTTTTAAGTGTAGCCCTGGGAGGGGTGTGAGCAACATCCTTATTGTTGCTGCTAAGCAACGTTCTCTGACTAGGATGTGCACAAAGCTGAGCTGAATACTTGTCTGCACCCACATCTCCAATGCATCAAGCCACTGAAGCATCTCAACAAAATGGTTATAAGACTGTTTTAATTTGAGCAGAATAGTGTATTTCCCTAACCTGGTTCTCAGAAATGACTGATTTTATTTGAAACCCTTTTAAAAAATCAGCTCGAGGCTGGTACCTGCCATGGGAAACATCAGCCTGAACAGTTAGCATGGGAAAGTAATAATAAGGAACTGAAAACAGTTTCTTTAAATGGTAAATGTCAGACAATCTTAACTTACAGGAATTGTAACCTGCACTGTCCATAATAAAAATAGTTTGTCTGTACCTGAAAGGACCTTACTTTTTTTTTTCTTCACCCTCCCTCTGGAATGAATACTTGTTATGTAATATTTTCATATCATGTTTACTGATTTGCTGTTTTTACAGAGAAATACAATTTTCCCAGTCTAGGGGCAAAAATCCCAACTATGCGTGACATCTTTTTGAACAAAAAGCCTTTATACTTGTAATTTAATATTTCTCTAGTTTTATTATAAAATACTAATGTGAATGTTCTATGGTACAACATTTAGTTATATTTTCAATCGTATTTAACAAAACCAATTCTGAAGAATAAAAAAAGAGATTGAATAAATTCACATTTTAAATAATCCCAAAACATATACAAATAGCTAATGAGTGGTAAACATGAGACACATTTCAAAGAGCAAACTTCACTGTCTCCATGACACGTACATAACTTATCCTTCTGAAAACTTTGGCCGGGATACTTGGTCTACGGGTCACATCCAGGCCCCTTCATTTTATAATTTCCCTATTATATTCAGTTTAAGATCTCGCTCTTTAAAATGAAGTGCCTTCATAATTGTAAAGATTATCTCCCAAAAGTAAATGGTACAGCATTAGCAAATGGACTGAAACAACAGCTCTGAATGATAACAACTGCACTATTTCAGTATTGGTGTTGGCCTGGAAATGACTGCTTCACTGATTTGTTTGCTGTGTGGGTCCCAGGATATTAGTCACACAAGGTGGGTAGGGAATACCCTTTTATTGGAGCAATTTCTGTGGTGAGACTCAAGCTTTCAAGTTACCTGCAGAAGAGCTCTGTATAGCTTGAAAGCTTGTCTCTCACCAACAGAAGGTGGTCCAATAAGAGATTAACCCCACCCACCTTGCTTCACTGATTAGCAGAAACCACCAGCTAATTTATTCTTATATTACTGTTTGCAAGTAGTGATGGCTATGGACTATGTAGGTTAATGCTTTCTTTCCATTTCCCAGCTCCAAAAAGGGCGCGGGGGGGGCGAATTGCTTGGCTACAAGCAGTAGAATTGTACTTTCTCTCATTACTCTCAGCATCTGAGACACTGCCTTTTTGCCTACATTTTAAAAAGAAAAAATGCAATAAACCAGCAGGCCTTAAGTTTCAGTGGAATGTGGTCCCACAACATTCCTGTCTACCTGACCTAGACTAGTGTACGAACACTGCAACTTGGAGACTACTAAGTGGCTTTCCTGGTTCTTTCTTTCCTTTCAGTTTCTGTCTACAAAGATTTCTTCATGTTTCTCTTGTCTTTATTTAATGTGACTTGAATGTGTTCCTGTATTTATTATTCACACAAGCTTTGGTTTGGAATATTTTGTTATTGAACTTTAACATATCAATAGAGTGTGTATTTGGTTTCTTACATTTAATTTATAGGAAGATCTTTCTAGTTCTGTACATTTTAGTAGCCTGAAAAATATCATGTGTAGAGAGAGTAAATTACTTATAATGGATTCATGAAGCTGAGCTTTAGAGATCTATACATTGACTATGATAAATAATATCCTTTCTCCATGCAGCTGTGCTTCTTGATACAGAATTCTGCCAAGTCTCTATATTTTCTATGGCCTAGGCCAGAACAAACTAAGAAGAGGCTGACACACAGTGGTGCTAACCACACCATTTCCCCTCCAGTCTTACAGTTATAGTTTTGTTTGTATTTGGATAGGGAATGCTTCAGATTATTTGAGGGGAGAATATAGTTCATTTGCTAAGGACACAAGAATTTGGAGTTGAGCTCTATGTAGGGTGCTATGTCCCAGAGAACAAGTAGGTCAGATATTTATCCTTTCTCTATTGTACAGAATGTTTCATAAGTAAATGTATTCTCTTCAAATACATATTTTTGTAGTAATTTATAGCTTTGTTTTCAGATGACAAGAGTGAGCCAATTCATTTATATGAATACGGTCCAAAAGATATTGCCACTATCTTCTTCTACATGCTTATAGCCATTATTCTTCATGCTGTGATCCAAGAATACATACTAGATGTAAGTTAGCAATGGGGGTATAATTTACTTATGTACATTCTTTATTTAGGCTGTTTGTTACATGTTTGTTCTTCAACGATCAGCATGTGTGTAAATCATGTTACAAAATAAAATAAAACAAGTAGTAGGGATACAAGAGTGTAATTTTTTAAATGAGTAATTGATGAACATGAGCTCATCAGTTTCCCAAACAGCTAAATGCCAGCTCCCACTGCCGCCCTGCACTGTATCAGAGGCGGCAGCAGCTAGCTCCCTGGGAGCAGGGTGCCAGCTCCTGGCATTCACTAGTTTCTGGAGAGTGCAGGGTGGCAGGCGAGAGCTGGTATGCACAGGGAGCCAGCTTTTGACTCTGTATGAGAATCTGCAATATATTTACACATCACATGCTGGTGGTTCATTTGTCATTTGATATAAATATTAGATTCGGGAAATGTGTCTACACATTAAGTAATATTTAATCTGCTTTTCTGACTCTTTTATAGTATTCGCCACATTAATAAGGGGATGGAAAAAAACAGTAGTATACTCACTATATAAAATCTTTCATGTCTCCAAAGCAGGGGTCAGCAACCTTTCAAAAGTGGTGTGCTGAGATTTTCCTGCCCTAAGCTGCGCTGCTCTTCTGGGACTGGGGGGAGGAGCGCTCTCTACCGTGCGCCCCACGTGCCCTAGGCTCTGCTTCAGCTTTTCCCATAGGGAGATGAGGAGCAGCACATGCGCGCTTCCCCAGAAGCCAGATGCGGCACGGAGCCTCAGGGCTTCCCCCACCCCCGCAGGAAGTCAGCACCGGCTCCAGTCTTGCAGGGAGCATGATGCTGGATCACCAGCATGGGCTGAAGTCAAGGTGGCTAGGGAAGGGGTGTTCAGGGAAATGGGCGAGTGAGTGACCCCAAGGTGTCCAGCCCTGCTGGGGGCGGAATCCCATGGGGGGTCTGGTCCATGGTTTCCTCTCCTTCCTGCCAGGAGACCAGGGGCCAACACGGCTTTGGGATGGGGGGGATCCCCCCCATCCACTTTCCTTTCCTCTCAGCTGCCCTCACTGCCACCCAGCCCTGGGAACCACAGCCCAGACAGCACTCACCCTCTAACACAGTTGTTCTCAAACTTTTTGGTCCGTGGACCACCTCAGTGCAAACCTTTCCGCAGACCACCAGTGCTAATGGAAACTCACCATTAATTTCATAATTAGGCTCAAGCCATGTTGCTAGTGCTGCAGCTAGGAAGAATGGTTTAATTTAAATTATTAAACAGATTAAGTGTTTTAACTTTCTCATGTTAGTTTATCAAACTTCTTTTTAAATAAAGTAAAATTAATTTATGTCCATTACAAAAGATTTCAATGTTTTCTTTATTTATGGCAGTGATGGGAAACAAGCAGTTGGGGACCACACAAATGAGAAGCAAAACAACTATTCCCCAAACCCCCCCAACCCTCTGAGCTTGATCCCATCATACTCCAGTTCCCAATTCCCCCATTAACTCCTCACCCCAGCCCCCACTTGCCCAGCCCGTGGCCTCTACTCCCTGATCCCTTCCACGTAGGGGGGTCCAAGCTCTGTGTGGGGTGCCTGTGCTGCCTGGTGGAAGTGGGTGGGGAGCCAGGGTGGCTCTCAGGGGGCACTGGGGCAGCCTCCCCCACT